GGGGCTATATTTCTTCCACTGACCACCAATGGCCACCTAATTGTGACCACTGAGCAAAAATAAAGTGGCAACATTCTTCCCATTGATGTTGGGGAATTTATTACTCCCATTAATGTCTTGTCATTTTTGCACCTACTGACAACTGCTGCAAGAACATTTACTGCTCCCATTGGCCACTGATAAAGGGTGATCTATAACTCCCACTGTCCACTGATAAAGGGTGATCTATTACTCCCACTGGCCACTGATAAAGGGGCATTTCTTACTGACACTGACTGCTGATGCCGGGACATATTTTACTCTAAGTGACATCTGATGCTGGGCATTTTTTTTTACTTCTTCTAGCCACAGTCCAGCCCCCAAACAGTGTGATGAACAGTGAGCTGTCCCTTTGTTAAAAAATGTTTGGAGGCCCCTGGTCCAGTAGAAAGCAGTCCTGAGCTTTCCTATTAGAGTCAACACTCTATAGAAATGTTCATCTATACAATACAGCTTTTATGCAATCCAAAAATGATATCATGCGTCCATTTACACACTTGTACATTTTCAAATTAATTTTTTAAATACCACTGACCAAAATGTATTATATTCCCCTTTTAGATTGATAAATGAATCAGACTTTGCCTGCACATTGATTAACTGTTCCCCCGTTGGAGAGCAGACTGATTAGCTCATCTCCAGTGACCAAATATGTATAAAATAAAATAAATACAGTTCTGTTCTCAAGACAAAACGTTCATATTTAAAATGGACAAGCTAGAGAACAATACAAATCAGGGAAACTGATAAAGTAAAGTTATCTTTAGCAAGCACTGGAACTTCTATTTCTTTGAGCTGGTGAAATCTAATTGACTGGTGCATATTTTTGAAAAAAGTGGCTTATGTTGGCCAAGTGTAAAAACATTTTGGGGCAACATGAATCACTTTCAACTGATGTCTGATACCAGAAATGACTGAACGAATCAAGACAACAGTTTTGATCTTTTCATCTTTCCCTCCACGTCATGATATACTTACATATTCTCAACTAGAAGTATCAATCCAGTTTTTCATTCACACTATCTTTTATTGAACAGCTACAAAGGCAAGTCTAACAGCTACAAAGGCAAGGCAAATCTAAAATAATGTAAAATATGTACCATATATAAAGATACATAGTGCCAGATCACTGAGATGAATAGACATCCAAAAACCCTTAGAGCCACAGGGACCTCAGCAACTAACCATACAGATTATTCTAATGGGGATCTATTTGGACCAGAAGTCTTTGCACTGTGTATTCTATAGCAGAGGTGAATTTATTTAAAAGCCTATAGAGCTCAGGAATTCATTCATCTTTCCCAAGCGCTGCTATGCAGTGGTGGCTTCTGCTGCCCTGGTCAACAACTAGTAGAAGAAAAAAAAGCCCATTTCCCTTGGATGCCTCTTATTTATTGACCCCGTGGCAAAAGAGCCTGTTAAAAATGAATTGTTTTGGTCATTCTAAAAGGTTAGAAGGGCCATAAAAGAGTATTCATTGCTCCAGTGTTTATCAGGGGTATGAGTTAAATGTATACTTTTGTCCATTTCGAAAACCCGTAGGGAGATGCATATCATTTTTTTTATTACCGTTTAGATACATTTATTACCTATAGTATTTCTTATGTTCTTGGCTAATACATGAGTTGTAAAAATATACTGCCTAAGCCCTGGGGAACATAGGTGTATCACAGGTCACAATAACGTAAGGAGGACATAGTATATAAAGGCTGACTTTAGCTGAAAATGCACTTCACCTTGGTTCCTCTGAACACAAATAAGCATCACAATTTATACCAGTTATCCTAAAAATACAGTGCTAAAAGGTTTTTCTAATATATGCTTGCTTTTTTTTTTAAAGAGCTATATTTTCAGTTGACACTGTCATAAGCATTAGAAAGTAATTTACTTTCAATTAATTTACTGTTGTACATTCCTTTTTGGACAATATTAGTTAGCCAAAACTCTGTATATCATAAATATGGACATTTATTTGTAATAAAATACTTATTTTCATACTTTGTTGCATCTCAGGGCTGCTGATCTACTGTAGTTTCTTTGCAGCCATTTACTCACTATATGCACTCTAGAGATGACTGAATGGCATTTCTTAGGGAAGGTTTAAGGCTAGTTCAAACCAAACATGGAGCAGATGCAGAGCAGTTACAGAACGCATCAAATCCAATTTATTCCAATGGTATTTTGGGCTCTAGTTCACACCAGAGCGTTCAGTTCCAGAGCATGTGGAAAAACTGCAGCATGCCCTATTTGTTCTGCTCTGGAACACACCAGAACACATGCAAACGCATAAAAAAATGCAAGCAAACGCCCTGGAACGCACATAAAGCCTATTTTAGGTTTTTAAAAAATTGTTTTTTTTTTAAACAGCCTGGAACACGGCAAAAACGTGGCAAAACACACTGCAAGTGCAGAAACTCATGCAGATCTGGTCCACATTTTGTGTGAACAAGCCCTTACTGATGATGACAGTAGTGGATTAAAACTGTGCAATGTGTATTGAAACAGCCACTTGCAGTCTCCATCAGAATTCCGTTTGACAGGGTGACAATGCACAAGCACAACTGGTAGACACACAGAGCACGTTGTCACCCCTATCACAGGAAATCCCTAAAGAGGGAACTTCATGGCAGGATCACCAGCAATTATTTTAAGAAAAGCCTCAAATGTAAAAATATTGAAAGTGACTTTTAAAAGGACATGTTAAAGCATATATGAGAATTAGGTGACTGGGTTTACATATACATTAATACAAGAAAAAAAAATCCTATTACAGTAGGTAAAAGTGCACCACTACCTTGAGAAAGTACTAGATAGATGTTGATGTACTAAAGACAAATAGACCGTTCACTTAGTGGTAAAAAAATCACTTTGCAAAGAACACCCAATCATGTGCAATAAAGAAAAACAAAAAACAGTTTTGCCTTTAAATGATTGGATGATGGAAGTCAGCCGAGCTTCACCTCATTCACTAAGCTAAGGGAAAAATCCCCTTGCACAACTGATTATCACTTGTGATAGATAAACTGAGATATAATTCTAGACATGTATCATATATATGATCGACTAAATGGGGGGATTGGTTTTCTCTATAGGCACCAAATAGATATCACTTTATAAACAAATTACCAACAAGTATAAAAAAAGTTAATATAGTAATGTATTATTACGAAAGGGGACTTCTAATCTTTTTTTATAGAGTATTAAATTGTTTTTATAAGCTTCCTCGAAGCAAAATTGAATTGTAGGAAATGATTGATTGTCAAGGACATTCTAACAAACGAGGTATTCATTTTACCGAGAAACCGTCCAAGGATTTTTTTTAATGTTTTTATTTAATTTGTTTGGTATCAATGAAGATAAGTTTCCCTTTGAGATATATAGGAAGAGGAGTAAAAGACTGATAGCAGCTAAAGTCATACAATCCAGCAGAATGTGACATGAAGATTTAATATCACTTTCTATTTTCATAGATGGAAATATAACAGTATATGACGTGATTGGTGATCCTCATAAATCTGTCTCTGTGACCTGTCCAATGAATCACAATGGATGGACATAGACTAGACCATTTTACCACTTTGGGATTAAGGGTCAAGCCAAGGTCACTTCATTCTTGGATCAAAAAGGATTAAATAAGATTGTAGAAAATTGTGAAGCCATAAATTATTGTCACACAGTAAGCGCTTCTTTGTAACCTTACAAATCTACATTATGCATTTACTAAATGGTTGGTACTGTCATGGCATGGAAAAATATTCCTCACACCATCTAAACCTGATTACATCCTCAGGGGTTACAAAGCTCTTTGAATGAAAAAAGATGGTTCAAAAAGGTAACTTTGTAACTTTCAAAAAGGTGTTTCAGGCAGCTGACTCCACTCTTTCTCAAGCCCACCGGTGAGTACCCCTTACTCATACACAAGGTTTGTACAACCCTTGAATCGGTGTTCGCTTTACTAGTGGATGAGTTGCTTATTATAAAATGTTGTGTTCTGTGTTGTCCGATTTGTTTTTATACTTTTGACTATACAATTGATTTGTAAACAAGAATGATGACACACGTTTATACTTCAGTGCATGCTTACACTTTCTGTCTGTAGATGCACATGGGAACGTCAAGTTATGTACTTTTGATGCACACTGACTTGGAGGTTGTGTTTCCATTGTTATCAGTTGGCTTGAGGAAGGCCTGAGTGGACTACCCACTTTTTTGAAAAATACAGATCCTTATCATTGTGTGTTATCTTTGGGAACTGAGGATAATGCATTTAAACATTATTGTTGATGCTAAGTTAACTGAAGATGACATTATCTGATTCAATGATTGGATGCAAACTCAATCCTTTTGAGGTTGTTGAGGGTAGTAATATTACTAGGGATGCACCACTACCGATACTAGTACTGGTATTGGTGCCGATGCCGAGTGTTTGGGTGAGTATTTGTACTTGCCCGATACTTGAGCTTCCGATATCAGTAAGCCAGGCAGTGAGTCATTACATGCTGCCCGGCTTCCTGATTGGCCTGGATGCTGGCTCCTGGTTGGTCGGGAAGCTGGCCAATCAGAAAGCCGGGTGCCATGTAATGACGCGTCCCCCGCCTTTCTGATTTGCCGGGAAGCCGGCTTCAGGCTCCCTCAGGCATCATTACACGGCGCCCAGCTTCCCGGGCCAATCAGGAAGCCGGGCACCGCATCATTACACGGCGCCCGGCTACCTGATGGGCCTAGAAAGCCATCTCCATGCTTTCTTGTCACCTAGTGACGACAAAGCATGGTATCGGTACTCGTACTTGATACCGAAAAAACGGTACCGGTACATCTCTAAATATTACTGTGGCTTGGTACAGAGTTAGTAAAGTTTCAGTTGATGAGGTAATATAAGTGGCAGAACATTTAATAATTTAACACTAAAATAACAACAAAAAAGAATAAGGATTCCTATTTAGAGAAAAATTAGCACTTACCGTCATTGCGCAATGTTAGTGGCGTTGGAGGACTCATAACTCTGGTGTTAGTCAGAACATTTTTTACATGACATATATAGCTTCCAACATCTGAAGCTTGTGCTTTAGAGATGTACAGATTTCCCGTCTCTTGAGAGATAAAACGCCGACTGTCTTCTGCCACAAATGAGGGGTACTCGTTTAAAACCCAGCTATAAGTGATTTCTAAAAAAGAAAAAGAGTAAAAATAATACATGAGTTCATCTTCAAATTATGTGCAAACACTTACATAGAAGCAGAAGTTCTTTTTTATTAACACAATTATACCAGTCCAACCTCCCTAATCCGTAAACAAACCTAGAAACCCCTTGCCCAGTTCCTTACTTGCCTCACCATGACAGCTGTGGAGTCCTCCAATGCTTACCTTCTCGAAAACGTCTTCAGAGTTGTCTGTGGCTGTTCACTATACTCCATCATAGGCTTAAATGGGATCATACTTTTCAACAACAGAAGCTGAGAGTATAGCCCCATTCAAGTGAAGAGGGTGTGGGCACTGAAGGCAATTTCATCCTGGAGGAGATACACAGTGGAGGAGGCCACAGCTGTTATTTTAGGTAAGTGGTGTGTAGGTTTCTAGGTTAGTTGGGGTTAGGGGGCTTAAGAGGTGTACTCAAGTAGTATTTAATTTAAGAGACCTTTAATGTGATTTAAGCCTAGGCTGACCATGGACAGACCGATATCTGTCCAACAACACTGGACATTGAGATACATGTTACTACCCAAACAAAAAGCTGTTAAGCCAGAACCACATGCAATCTTCTTCCAGACCAGGCTGTCAGGTGCTAGCTGGTCACAAGCTTGTGTCCTTTTCTCTATAGAAGGTAAGTATGAAAAAATCTGCTCCCACAAAACACTGTATGGGACTTCCAGCAGTCGGAAGTGCCTATTATAGCACCTTCAGAAATCCTTTACTGTCAGATCTCTATGCGATCTCTATGCGATCATCACAAAGAAACTTAAATCAGAAGTATTGGATGTATGGATGAAACCATATCTGATTGGTTCTACTGGTAATAGTCCCATGGTTATCAAAAAAACCCTGTGTTGCACTAATGGGTCCTCATAAGCATAAGCAGCCCATTGCTGGGATTTCTTTCCAACACCCCCACCATGTAATCCTCAGTTAGCCTTGTAACACCAATCAGAGAAGTTCCCAAAAAGTTAAAATAGACAAGTATCACCCCTCTGCTGTATAATGCTTACATAATTGCAGAGAAGTGATGCTGCCATGTTGTCTGCAAGGTGTCAATGTGCAATTTGTAAACATATCACATCTTTGGATTACAGTGACACTTTTATATGTGGAAAATAGTAAAATGACTTGGGTAAAATGACCCATCATGAATTTACTCTATAATAGAATGTATATTTGTTTTAAAAGCAAAATATATCTGAACACAAACATTATAAAACACATATCCTAATGTAAGTTCCTATCACCTTAAGGTCTTATGCAAGATCTTTAATACACCAATGTGGCACATGGCTTCTGAAGTGGAGACAGGGTGTAGAGGTTTTAGAACAGAGTCAGGGTGCAAAACCACTGAAGCAGAGACAGGGTGCAAGGATTCTGTAACAGAGTTAAACCGCTTGACGGATGAGTAGATTCAGGGTGCACAACCTCAGAAGCAGAGACCAGATGCATGCCTTTTGGAGCAGAGACAGAGTGCAAAACCACTGAAATAGAGACAAACTGCAATGCTTCTGGAGCAGATTCATGGTGCAGCACCGCAGAAGTTCAGATGGGATGCAGCTTTGGGGAATGGTCCACGACCCCACTTGACTAGAACAGGGGCAGCCCCACTAAAAGGGAAAAAAATGAGTTTCCCTGGAGTTGTATGTTAAGGTGTACTGAGTTGCAGAAGTTGCTGCTATGGGTAGCGCGGGATGAAGACATTTGGGAAGGCTAATACCTAGAGGCAGGTACCTCAGGTATATCAGTCTAAATTATCTGTGGCTGAGGATGATATATCTGACCAGCTTTGGAGCAAATGTATAATTCCCCTATCTAACTAGAGCATGTACAGTGTTAATAGAGTCAAGCAGGGCATCTCATGGACATACAGAATAGTGCTCATAGAAACAGGATTTGTCATCTTCTAACACACATGACCCACTTCACATGACCGTATTATGTAAATGTCATTGACTGAGTTTAAATAAACTTGGGTTTGGAACAAACCTCAGCTAATCCCTACCCCTCAGGAGTGGCTAAATACTCTCCCAGCACCCAGCATCAGGTGCTAATCAACTGCATGAACCTGCTGACTGCTGGGAGACGCACACTTGTGGACATTGAAACTAAGCCCTCGTTCACACCTGAACGTTTTGTAGCGCGTTCTACGCTCGACGAACCCTCTACAAAACGCTCAAACATCTAAATCCCATTGTATTCAATGGGTCTGGTTCACACCTTGGCGTATTTCAGCCCGTCCCTAACGCGCTACAAACGGCCCACGCCTGAAAAGGTACATGTACTACTTTGGGCCGTTTTTGTTGCGCGTTTCCATTGGGATACAGCCAAGTAGCCCTCGGAAACGCGCGTCGGTCGCGCAATTTTTTTTACCGCGAATCGCGGTAAAAAACCCGTGTGACAGACGCGCATATGCAATACGCCTAGGTGTGAACCAGGGCTAGGTGCCCATACACCTGCCGGTTATCGTACGCTACTCACGGCTGATCCCACGATTGTACGATAATCGGCAGGTTTATGGAAGGCGTGCAACCGTTTTTACTGTACGGTCGCACATCTTTTGTCTTCCGAGCGCGCTGGAAAACCTGCCGAAAATCGTAAGATTTTCGGCGGGTTAGTGGCGTGCTCGGAAGACAAATGCCGAACCGGCAGGTGTGCGCAAGGGCACACTGCCCGCTCAGCATTGCAGTCATCGGAAGCTCTCCCCTCAGTGGGGCGGGCTTGCGATGATCGCAAGTACGATCTGCCTGTCCAAGATGGGCAGATCGTACAAGCTTTTAATTACCTTACAATCATCGCACTATGAAAGTTGTGCAATGGTTGTAAGGTGTATGGCCAGCTTAAGGCATTCAAGATCAGAAAACACAGCGCGCCAGCAGGTGTTCTACCTCCTGACAAATCACCCTTTGCACTGCAACTCACCACAAAGCACATCTATAGTTCTGTAAAGTTAGGAGAACAGGACAGGTTCCCTTAAGTGACTTTTTATTCTGTAAAAACAAACACTCTGAAATACTGTGCTAGTCCCACACATTGATATAGCGAGAGGTATTGGTGCTTTATAGATTTAACCAGTTTCTATCTGTCTAGCATTTTTTAATAATTTTCTTTTCTGCAATTCTAACCTCCAAAATGTGCTGTTTTTTATGGTTCAATGAGGATGTTTCAGCGAGAGCCAGCAAGTTCTAGATACTTCTTATGATGTATTTGAAAGCAAATACTTCGCCTTGTTTGGCTCAGCTTCCCAGAATGAAAATTTAAGTATGTGGTGGTGTCGACATATAAAGATTTCTCTATTCAAAGGGAAAAGAAGACAATAAAAGCAGCCCAGAGCACAGCATTGGTATGCAGCGGAGAGGAGACATAAACTTATTTGCTGACCAGGAGGACTGTTATTTACAAAGTTTTGCTTGCAGAGAGTTTAAAACATTATAGGGAATGTAAAGCTGACATTTTTCTTCATGAAAGAACATTCTTGTTTACAAAATTGTCTCCCCGGAGCTCTCCATCTGCTTTATGAAGGTCATTTTTAAATCCTTTAAAAATAGCCAAGTTATTTCCATTTATATGAAGATTTTATGGCTGGGCGAAAATGAAAATCTTAATGTCTCTGTAATAAGCACCTACTGAAAAGCGAAGGAGTTCAATAAAATAAAGTGCACCTGTCATGCCTGCCTGGCCAGGGTAACCATTTTTGTGGGCCGTTCCAGCACTCAACCGATCAGTTCAAGACAAACTAGTGACAACAGTGCGGCAAATATTTAATAAGGGTGTTAGCTTGAACAAACTTTAAAGTATCTGTGTTCTAGAATGACAAGTTTAAAGAAGGTCTGGCATCTGTGGGTTTCCAAAAACATCCCAATCCTCACCTAAGTTTTACATTGGGCCATCAGATCAGATTGGGATTTGGCTATGCATGACCAGCCTTAATGTGCAGAGTCATCGTCCTGACTGCAGGGAGGGTTTAAATACCCTCCAAGGAAGCACCAGGTGATGGAAAGTGCTGGCAGCTGGGAGACACCTGCAGGTGAGCACTGGAGCTGCAGGTTCCAGCACCACTAAGTTGTGGTCTGGTACCTAACAGTTCCCGTTTGCCTGGAGACACCTGCAGGTGAGCACAGGAACTGCAGGGCTTAGCTCCAGCGCCACCTGGAGGCGTTCTGGATCCTAACAGTGCAATTGAAGCCAAAAACTTTTTTTTGGCTTTGGATAGAGTAGAGAGGCATTGGAACACCTGCCATATTTTATTGCTGTCTGCATTACCTATAGGGAGATTCACCCTCTCTATTTGTCCTTGTGACCGTTAAACGTGAAAGAAAATCACAAATTTTCAGTTGTCATCGGAAGAGGAAACAATGGGAAATCTTCCAATAAGAACTCTAGTTCTGTTGATCCTGCTGACCACCAGGTTTTTTTTCTCTTTTTGGAGGGATTTCCTCTCACTTCCTGTTGTGGCTATCAGACAGGAAGTAAAGGGAAATCTCCTCAATAGGACACAGATATATACAACCAACAATAAAGCACATAATATATGGGACACAATAACATGCATTTTAAGCACTGAAAATCACTTGTATACGCAAGCACAGATTGAAAACAACATTTGAAATTACATTAGCATGATAACCTTATATGAGATTTTACTGATTGGGTTAAGATGTGCTTCAAGTTCCTCAATCCCCCTATAACTAGTATCAAGGAAAGCACACTTCAAGAGACTTCTTTACTAGTTAACTACAAAATATGGTATTTTCTCTGTCCTGACCATAATAATACAAAAATATATGTACAAAACTGATACACATTCCCTATAAATATGGACTTTCAAAAAAACTTGGAGGACAGTAGGGACACATATAAAGACAGCACATGTCCCTAAGCAAACTGTATCTCAAATTGGTGGTGTGACTTTGTAACATTAAGAAAAGTCAGTTCAAAATGACCTCCTAAAATGGATATTGGGGAGTTTTAA